ACTGAGCTTTGAACCTGGTGCTTCCTAGGTAAGCATCTACACTGCACTAAGCTCTAGCCTCAGTCCTTTCTCCATTGCTTGACAGAGGGTCTGAGTCGCCCAGTTTGCCCTTGAACCTGCTTTGTAGTCACCAGCTGAGCTTGAACTTGCAATTCCCCAGTCTCAGCCTCCAGAGTAGCTGGAATTATAGGTACCCCACCAGGCCCAGATATAAATGTCTCATTCTACATGTGTAAAATTTTCTTTTCTCATTGGGGATGTAGATCTGTTGGTAGAATGTGCTTGCTTTGCATGCAGGAAGTGCTTGGCTCAATCTTCAGCACCAAATTAAAGCTTAATAAAAGTCATGGTGGGGGGCAGCAGAGATAGCTCAGCAGTTAAGAGCACTTGCTGCTCTTCCAGAGGACCCAGGTTCTGTTTCCAGAACTCACATGGCGCCTAACAACTGTCTGTAACTCCAGTTCCAGGGGATCTGATACCCTCTTCTGACCTCTGTGGCCCCTGCACAACACAGGTGCACTAACATACATGCAGGCAATACATATGTACACACAAAATAATTTTTTTTAAAAAAAGCATGGTGGTATACAATTTAATCTCAGGACTCAGGAGGTAGAGGCAGGAGGACCAGAAGTTCAAGTTCATGCCCAGCTACATAGCAAGTTTGAAGCCAGCCTGGGCTGCATGAGACCTCATCTCAAAATAAATAGGACTACAGAACACATTAGAAATCTTTGTGCATGGTGTGCAGATTACGCTTGTACAACAGAAACTGTACTTATATGTACTAATATACTCATGCCTTTTAGAAATTTTTATTTTATGACTGTTATGCCTGCATGTGTGTAAGTGCACCCATGTTGTGCAGTGTCCACAGAGGACAGAAGAGAGCATTGGATCCTCTGGAACTGGAGTTATGGACAGTTGTTAGCTGCCATGTGGTGCTGAGACTTGAACCCAAGCCTTCTGCAAGAACAGCCAGTACCCTTAACTGCTGAGCCATCTCTCCAGGCCCCAATTTTTTTTTTTTTCCTGAGGCAGGGTCTCACTATGTAGAGCACTGGCTGGTAGGAAACTCCCTATGTAGACCAGGACAGAGATCTGCCTGCCTCTGCCTCCTAGGTGCTAGAATTAAAGATGTGTGCCATCACACCAACCCTTTGAAAAAATTAAAAATTTTATGTGTATGAGTGTTTTGTCTGCATTCTGTGTGCCACATGCATGCAGTGCCAGTGGAGGCCAGAGAGGGCATTGGATCCCCTGGAACTGGAGTTACAGATGGTTGCTAGTTTCCAGGTGGGTGCTGGAAATTGAACCCAAGTCCTCAGCAAAAGCAGCCAGTGCTTAGCCATTTAACTATCTCTCCAGGGTTTTTTTTTTTTTTTTTTTTTTTTTTTTCCAGACAAGGTCTTACTATATAGTCTTGGCTGGCCTGGAAGTCAATATGTAGACCAAGTTGGCCTCAAATTTGTGCCAATCCTCTTGCTTCCATCTCCTGAATGGAGATGCTAAGATTGTGCTAAGATTATAAGCACAAATCGTCATGCCCAGGAACACTGCCCTCCCCCTTTTCAAGACAAGGTCTTCCTGTAGCCCCAGCTAGCCTGGTACTTACTATGTGGACCAGGCTGGCCTCAATCTCACAGCCTCTGCCTCCTGAGTGCTAGGATTAAAGGTGTGTACCAGTACATACAGCTCAGCCCTTTTTTAAGAGATTACATTTATTTTTTGAGTGAACGTGTGTGTGTGTGTGCGCTTGCGTACACCCATGTGTGGAGAGCAGAGGACAACTTGCATAAATTGGTTCTCTCTTTCCACCTTGTAGGTTGGGGGACAGAATTCAGCCCATCAGGCTTGTTGACAAGTGCCTTTATCTGTTGAGCCATCTCACTGACTTTTTTTTTAAAAGTCTCACTATGTATTCCAGGCTGGCCTCAAACCAGATCGTCCTCTACCATAATAAGTTCTGGGATTACAGGCATGTACCAGCATGCCCACCTCCATAGCTGTTTACTATTCCATGATTGCATATCCTTAAGGCTGATTGTCACTATGCTCTTCCCATACTGGGCTGTATCCCAAGCCAGGAACAGAGCTGTACTGAATAGCCAGCACCTCTCCAAGCAAACAGACGACAGCTGGGATGTTGGTGGGACTGTTGGAGGATATGTATCTTTAGGCTTCATGAACTTGGCAGAGCAATGCCTGTCTGCCTAACTGCCTTCAGTCTAGTACTTTGGACACTGAAATTTTTGACAGGTACTTAGAAAATACTTATTAATCCCCAGAGAGGGTAAAATGAAGGGATGGATAATCAAAAGGCCTATACATAGCATAACGTGATGAGGTAACATGATAGCGCATAAAGACTAGAGACTTTGATTTTGGCAACTTGAGTTCAAATCTCAGCTCTTCCATCATCATGGAAGTCTGGACAAAATATTTAACTTTTCTGCAGTTCATGTTTCCCGGCTGTAAAGAGATACTATCATGTCTTTAAAAAAAAAATTTTATCATTTTTATTTTATGTGTGTGTGTCGCCTGCATATAGGTAAGTGCACCCATGTTGTGGAATGCCCGCGGAGGTCAGAAGAAGCTGTCGGATTCCCTGGGACTGGAGTTGTGGAGAGTTGTCAGCTGCCATGTGGGTGCTGGGATTTGAACCTGGGTCTTCTGCAAGAACAACCAGTGTTCTTCACCGCTGAGCCATCCCTCCAGTCCCCCGAGATACTGTCATGTCTTATAAGTAGGGAGAATTGAGTTAGGATGGCACAATGGAAAAATGCTTCCCATTTTGCTGCCACAAGGTCTTAATCCAAATGAGGATTACAAAAGGAAAGTAATGGTCCAGGGAGCCATGTGTTTGCTGTGCAAGCCTAGCAACTTGACTTTGAGCCCCCAAACCACATTAATAGTGGAAGAAGGGAACTGACTCCACAAATCTCTTGACTGCCACACATATGCACACCTCCCCCCAAATGATATATATTTTTTAATTTTAAAAGTAATACAGAGGCACACCTGGGGCCATGCTATATGGTTATGCCACTTATTACCCACCCTAGACAGCATACAGATGAGTGGACATAAAAGTATTAATTCCAAAAGCAGCATCTGTGGTAACATTTGTTGAGGCTGCAGTTGTAAGCCTGGACAAGAGGAATGAAAATATCCAGGGCACTTATTTAGGGAATTTGACCAAGCAAAAATAATACACAGAAAAACCATACTGCCACCAAGTCCTGAGTTGATCCAGGGCAGAGAGGAAGACAGGTCCTAAATAATGACCTCCACTGGTTATAGTGGCACACCCCTTTAATCTCAGACCTGAGAGGTAGAAGCAGGCAGATTTCTGTGAGTTCCAGGCCAACTGGTCTACACAGTCAGGGCTGCATAATGAGATCCTGTTTTAAAAAAAAATACTTTGATCTGATGGGCTGATAAAAACAGAGACTTTGAAAGCCGGGGCGGGGGGTAGAGGGGGGGAGCTATTGTCTTTGCAGAGAAGCTACACAAAATACTCTAATTTTATTTGGAACCACAGATGTATCATTTTTCATGACATTTTACAATCTTTTCTGGAAGCGGTGGTAGTGCTGGGGATTGAACACAGGGTCTCAAACATGCGGGGCAAGCATTATACCACTGAGCTGTGTCCCTCACCCCTTAATATTACCTTGTTTTATAGGGACACTGGACTAATTCTACTTAAATATCAGTGATGTATTTTAAGTAACATATTTCTGAAAAAAGTTAAATGTACTTCATAACAGTGCAGAAACAAAGTGCTGGTGCCCGTCCAACTCACGAAAACAATCCTGAATCTGTAGTTTGTAGTGAGATATTTTATCCATCTTTGATCAGTCCTGGACCAAGTACCAACCACAAGCTGAATGACAAGGGAGAAATAAAAAGTTAAAACACTGAAGACCAAAAAGACTGCTCTGGAGTCAGTTTATGATGAGCTGTGCCATCTGGATGATTGGCTGTGGTTCCTGTCCCTGCTGTAGTGTATACTGCCGGGTCAGAGCTCTTCTGCCATCCAGTTTCCACAAGTATCCAGTGAGTCACAACCAGGGGGCACTGCCACTGGTTACTGTATGTATTCTGTATATACCTGAGTGACAAGGAGTTTCTTGAATACATTCACTTCCAAAATGTCTGTCAGTCCTGTTAATAGGCGCAAAGGAGTTACTTGCCAGACACAGTACCTGACATCAGCTGTCCTTCATAAACAGAAAGGCTGGTATCTGTAGATGAGGATTACCTTGTCAGGAAGACTTCAGTTCTTACCTTGCATTTATATTACAATCATCTCAGGAGGAAAGGAGAATCAGTATTCATAAAAAGAATTTAAATTCTGGCCCTAGGGCTCTCAGATCTGCTTCCAAGAAGACAGCTCTTAACTTGACTAACAGAAGCCTCGAGCTGAACGTCTTCCAGAACTAGCTCTGTTACTTGCTGCCATAAAGAGAACAGTGAGCCAGTGCAACTTGGTAGCATCTTTCCATGTGTTTTCCTGCACCCTGCCAGGCTAGGTACATACTTTCCAGGTTCAGTACGACTGAACTACACCTCTAGCCTTGACTATATATATATATACTTTCCTTTCTATTTTTTTTTTTTTCTTTTTGGTCTTTTTGAGACAGGGTCTCCCTGTAGTCCCAGCTGGCCTGGAGCTCACTTCATAGACTAGGCTGGCCTCGAACTCACAGATATCTGCCTGCCTCTGCCTCTGGAGCACTGGGACTAAAGGTGTGCGCCACCATGCTTGGCTATGTACTTATTCTTGAATAACTACATCGAATTTATTTGTGTATGATGGGGTACACGTGACAGGGCTCATGTGTGGTGGTCAGAGGACAACTTGCAAGAGTGAGTTTTCTCCTTCCACCATGTGGGTCCAGGGAATCAAACTCAGATTGTCAGGCTTGGTAAAGGAACATCTTTATCTCCTGAGCCATCTCATTGGCTCCATCTTACTATTTTTGATGAAAGGGTCTCTGGCTCATCTTTCTAAGATGTTAAGTTGTGAGGAAAACAGACTTTGCCCCAAGTTGGCTGACCTGCATCTAAGAAGGGTTTAAGAAAAATGTCTTAACCCTTCCTGCAACTCCCTGGCTCTTACTCTAGACCTGGACATCTATCCCTCCAGAGCATGGTGTTGGTCTAGGGTCAGGCATTCTTATCAAAAGGCATCTTTGATGTTCTTGAGTTGGCGCACAGCCAGGTCTACAGGAAGGCTGAACTTGAGGCTGCTGAGGCGGCTGAGTAAGTTGAGGGCACTCTCAAAACCTGTATGGGCCATGTAGCTCCAGGGTTGATAGTGGGGCTCAATGAGGGACCCTGACTTGCAGATGAGGTTCACCCAGGACACCAGGCGCTGTTCATTCAGAGCCATGCACACCAGTGCCTTCAGCTCTGAGTCTGCGCTGCGCTTGAAAGGGTCATGCTCTGTCAGCACCATGTGGATGGCTGTCAGGAGGCTCTGTTTGGGGGTCATAGCAATGCCATCCATAACAGGCAGGGCAAAGGATTGTGAGAGCTTCCGGGCTGGAGATTCCACATATGCACGGCCATTCTTAGCATGGTAGTACTTTACAAAGAGCTCCCAGGGGTGCATGGTCTCAGGTGCTGAGGAGAAGGCTGGCAACAAGCAAGCAATGGGAGCCATGACAAGGCTCATCCCAGGAGAAGAGGCATACAGTCCATGGGCCAGCAGGTCCCTCACAGCCACTGTCAGCTCCTTTCGCACAGCCAGGGTCAGCTCGTCCTTGCCTCCCAGGGATGACAGGTCCTGGAGGTTGGCTGAAGTGATGACATAGTCATGTGGCTGGTACCTCAAGGCTAGCTGTTTCACTCTGTCTACTGACACCTCCAGCCTCTTCAGTAGCGGGGAGTAGTCTCTGTCAGCCTGACCCCTCTGCCACAAGGTTTGAGGGATCTGGCCTGTGGCACAACCAAACTGGCTAACAGCAAAGATCTGGAGCACGGCCAGTGCTCGCCGCATCAGTTGTAGCCCTGATTCCCGGACTCTCTTCATGTCTTCTGCCTTCGCTGCTTAGAAAACAGTGGTTCATTAGAAAGGCCATAATGACACAAAGACAAATTCAAGAAGCCACAGCCTGAGGTCAGGTCTTTTCTTTTTGTATTATTATTTTTTGGTCTTTTTGAGACAGGGTCTCCCTGTAGCCCCAGCTGGCCTGGAACTATGTAGACCACGCTGGCCTTGAACTCACATAGATCCCCTGCCTCTGCCTCCCAAGTGCTGGGACTAAAGGTGTGTGCTACCATGGCTCGAGATTAAGTCTTTTCTAAGCCATAGTACAGGAACCACGTGAAGACAAGAACCACGTAGGATGCAGCAGAGCTGGCTTCCTTTAGGCTGATAATACTAGTTGTATTGAGACATAATTCACATACCATGCAGTTCATCCATTTCTACTGTACAATTCAGGTTGTTTTTCTAGGACAGTCTTGCTATATAGCTCAGACTACCCTTGTACTGTGAAAATCCTCAGGTCTCAGCTGCCCCATTACTGGGATTACAGGCATGCACCACCGTTGGCCTTAAATTCTTCATCCTTCTGCCTCAATCTCCCAAGTGGTAGTAAGACTGCAGATGCAGGTCCTTGCTCAGAACTTTTTCCTTTTTGGCGCTGAAGATTAACCTGGGGTTCCAGCTACACTAAGCATCACTAGCTTCATCTTCTAGGTTACGTTCAGAATTGTGCAGCCATTGCCACAATCCATTCTAGGCTATTTTTAATACCGGTAAAAAACACCCTGGACCATTATAATTTCCTGTTCCCCATTTCTTCCTAAGATCTAAGCAATCACTGTTTTTAAAACATTGATTTTTTTGGGGGCTAGAGAGATGGCTCAGCAGTTAAGAGCACTGACTGCTCTTGCAGAGGACCCAGGTTCGAGTCACAGCAACCACATGGTGGCTATGGAACCATCCTTAACTCCAGTTCCAGGGGAATCCAAAGCCCTCTTCTGACCTCTGCAGCACTGCATGACACAGGTACACTCACATACATGCAGGCAATATAATCATACACATAAAAAATAAAAATAATAAAATAAAAAATACTTAAAAAACATTAATTTTTATTTGTTTTGTTTTGTTTTTTTGAGACAGGGTCTCACTGTAGCATCAGCTGGCCTGGAACTCACTATGTAGACCAGGCTGGCCTTGAACTCAGAGAGATCGGCCTGCCTGTGCCTCCCAAGTGCTGGGACTAAAGGCATGCGCCACCATGCCTAGCCTAAACATTGATTTATTTTTGGGGGAAGTGTGTGTGCTTGTGTATGTGTGCACATGTGTGCCAGGGCAAGGTCAAAGAACAACTGGCAGGAGTTAGTTCTCTCTTTCCAGCATGTGGGTCCCATGGATCCAACTCAGGACCTCAGGCTTGGAGGCAGGTGCCTTTACCTGCTGAGCCATCTCACTGTTCCTTTTTCCTTTTTTTTTTTTTTTCAGATAGGGTCTCCGTATATAGTCCAGATTGGCCTAAAACTCTCAATCCTCCCACCTCTACCTCCCGAGTGTTGTCAATGTAGATGTGTGTGGCCACACCCAGCTATAATAATCTGATTTCTGTCTTACAGCCTCATGGATTCTAGAAGTTGTACTTACTTTTACTGCTTCCTGGAGGCAGTCTGCTGCCGCCTGTTCTGGTGGAGCTATGTCCTGCCTTCCGGCTGGCCTTGCACTCACAGTGCCCAGCACCTGTCTGCAAGGGGCTTCCGACTTCATCTAGCATCAGAGGTTACAAAGAGAAGACATTTATCCCCTTATATTTAATAGTGCCAGTTCCTACCATATGTCAAGAATTTTACAAATTATTGCATTTCATTGTGCGAAATAGTGACTGGTACTTCGTAGTTAGCTCGACAAATATTTGCTTAGCAAATGAAGTATGACTTATCACCGATGACGAGAATAAGGCTGAAGAGGTTAGTAACCTGCTCAAGGACAGGAAGCTAGGCAGTGGCAGCAGTAGCAGCTGAACTACCTGGTTCTAGAACCATGTTCTTTCCATTCTACTGTGGTGATTGTGTATCTTCAATATATTGAATATTGGTGGCTTTAGGTATCAGTACTCAGAATAGATATAACTATCACACTGTATATCCATCCTCTTCCCGATCCCTCCTATGACCTTGGATGAAGCTGATGAACATCTCAAGATCTCGGATCTGGGTTTTCAGTTGCTCAACCAACTGTTCTTTCACTCGGGCTGGGTTGACGATCTGAGCCACTGCTGTATCCACACGCTGGCGAAGCTCTTCAGTGGACAGGGAACTGATGTCCTCATTCAGATTCATGTCCAGTTTCTTTATTAACTCATCAATGATCACCTATCAAGACCACAGTAATGAGTGTACCCTTTGCAATTCTCAAGCAGAGGGTTAGGAGAATCTCAATAAGGCTTCCATGCTCAGCTGTAAATTAAAACCACACAAACCTCCCAAGTTTATGAAAAAATAAAACAGATCAAGATGAGGACAAGGCTGGCAAGATGGTTTAGTGGGTAAAAGGACTTGCTATGAAAGCCTAGTGACCAGAATTCAATCTATGGAACCCACATAAAAGTGGAAGGAGCGAACTGATCTCAACATGCCATGGTGGCACGTCCACACTTAAATTAAAAAAAAAAAAAAAAAAATTGATGAAGACACAGAACTTCTTCTCTTTTTAGAGTAACAAGAAGTCTTAATCCAAAGCTAGGATGTAGCTCAGTTGGTGGAATGCTTGCCTGGCATGCACGGAACCTTGGGTTCAAGCTCAGTACTACATAAACCAGGCAGGATGGTGCACACATGTAATCCAAGTACTTGGAAAGTAGAGGCAGGATGAGGTCAAGGTCATCCTCTACTACAAAGCAAGGTTGAGGCCAGCCTAGACTACATTATAATCTTGTCTCAAAATATAAAAATAAAACAAAAGAACCCTTGGTTCCTTTCAGGCATCAAGATATATTGTTAAAATTTTTTAGTGACATTCTTAGGAGCAACTTGTAACCTGCACAACACATTTTCCATGTATGAATAAAGACCAGCTCTAATCCATGCATGGGATTATACCTGTAATCCCTGAACTCAAGAGACGGAGGCGGCAGGATCTTGTGTTTGAGGGCAGCCTGAGCTATATAGTAAGTTTCAGGCCATCTGGGGCTATATAGTGAGACCTTGCCTAAAAAGAAAATAATGAAAAAACAATAAAGGAAAATAAAAGGGAAGAGAGCAAGAAATAGAGACTAGTTCAGTAAACAGTTAAAAGTTCCCTTTAGCCAGGCATGGTGGCACATGCCTTTAATCCCAGCACTCAGAAGGTAGAGGCAGGTGGATGCCTGAGTTCAAGGCCAGCCTGGTCTACATAGTGAGTTCCAGGTCTGCTGGGGCTACAGAGAGACCCTGTCTCAAACAAAAAAAAGTTCCTTTTAATTTGAACCAGGGATTCTCAGTAAGGCCATGGGAAAAGGGAACTGGGGAGAGGCTATGCTGGAACACCACCAGCAGGGGTGAGTTAACCTTGCAAAATGGTAGAGGTGCCTCTGAGGTCTGCTTACCCGCTGTCTTTCCAAGACCACAGACTGTGGTAGAGAGTCATAACTGCCCTCCTGATAGGCAAATGTTTCCAGATCATCTAGCTGGGTCTTGAGCTGTAGGATCAGGTCCTTTTGCCTCTCCCTCTGGGTTTCCAGACGCTCTTGTTTTTCCTGCTCACTCTATGATGAGAAAAAGGACTTAGGTCTACTTCACAGAAAAGAGAAAACAAGGACACTCTAAGACTCTCAGGCCAGTGGTGACTAGGAAATTATAAAGTACTTCCAAACAATCCCCTGAAACACTTTACAAACTAGGTTAAGCAGTAAGAATAACTTCATCCAGGGCAATTTATTACATGTGTGTTTTCTTTAAGAACTGATCTATCCTTCATCAGAAACAGGATCCAAATACAACAAGGCCTTTTTGTTTTTCAAAGTTACATTTAGGATAAAGGAAACTTCGCTAAGATGGTTTCCAGGAATGAAACATGTCATCATCCACAGTCAGTCACCACAGTATAACTCCTCAATACTCTGTGTAACCAAATTTTGCAAAAAACCCTAGGAATGGTAGCCAGGCATGGTAGCTTGTGGAGATACAAAGATCAGAAGTCCAGCATTAGCTACATAACCAGCTTGAGGCCAGCCTGGCTTATGTGAGACCCTGACTCAAAAAGCAAACAGGCTAGCCAGGCATGGAGGCCTTTAGTCCCAGCAGAGGCAGAAGTAGATGGAGCTCAGCCTGGTCTACAGTGAGTTCCAGGTCAGCTGGGCTACAAGAAGATCCCGTCTCAAAAAATAAACAACAAACACAAAGGAGTAAAATAACTAATCACTGTAAGTATAAGGCTGCATTTTAAACCAGAAGTCTATATAGCATTACATTTAACCTTAAAGTGGTACTTACCAGGCCCTCCACAAGTAAGGTATGGGAGAGAACAAATGAAAAACAACAAATTAACTTTTTGTTCAGATTCTTGAAAAGTAGCCCCCTTTCTTTAGCTTTGCTGAATCTGAAAGTAAGTCTTAGGGTACTCTTCCAATCTTTCAAGTGTTACTGCTTTTACTTTAGACCCCACTCTTTCCCAACCTAGTAAAGGCCTAGGTCTCTCCAAGGTTTCCCTGATTTTTCTCCAGGCAGAACAAGTAATCTCCTCTTTTGTATTTTGTATACATGTATACTCTAGCTCATGTTTCATTATAGGATTTGTTTAGGATTGGTTTCTGCTAATCTATGAACTGCTAAAGGGAAAGGGCTTTGACCTTAAACCCCAATACCTGGAACTGTGCCTGGCACTGGGTGAACTCTCAGTACATATTTTTGTTGTTTTTTTGAATCAGGGTCTCACTATATAGCCCAGACTGGCCTTGAACTTGCTATGTAGACCAGGCTGGCCTGGAACTCAAGAGATTCCCCTGCCTCTATCTCCTGAGTGCTGGGACTACAGGTGTGTGCCACCACACTTGGCTCTCAGTTCATTTTCTATGTTACTGGACTAAATTAGGTGACAAATTTCAAATAAGGAACTCTGACTGGAGGAACTTATCTAACCAGCCCAAGGAGAAAGAACTGAAGAAATTGTTCATCTTTGTTATATCCCTTTATGAAGCCAAGGAAGAAAGAAACCAGCTGTAAATCCTTTGTTTCCATGACTCCATCTGCAAAGTCTGTCACTGGTGGTGGTGGTTTCATCATACTTGCTGGAGTGTGAGCAAACAAATTTAACAGAGAGAACAATGAGCTCTGGGGGAGGCAGGAAACAAAAGATTTAATTTCCAATACAAATTGAGATAAAATATTGGTTTAAAATAATTTAGAGGGGCCGGCGTAGTGGTGTACATCTTTAATCCCAGGACTCGGGAGGGCAGAGGCAGGGGGATCTCTGTGAGTTTGAAGCCAGCCTGGTCTCCATAGTGAGGTTCCAGGCCAACTGGGGCTACAAGGAGACCCTGTCTCAAAAAACAAATGCAGAGGGGCTGGGGATATTAAATTGGTAGAGTGCTTGCCTAGCATACAACTAGGCAGTGGGTTCAGACTCCTGTAATCACAGTCCTCAGAGAGTAGAGGCAGGAGGATCAGAAATCAAAGGTTAGGGCCACAAAGCCTGACGACCTGAGTTTGAGCTTTGGAACCTACATAGTGGAAGGAGAGAATTAACTTCTACAAGTTGTCCTCTGACCTCCAATACCAAAGGCTGTGTCATGTACATGCACTGCCCCCCATAGATAGACAGACATACACACAGTAAATTTTTTTCAAAAGAAGTTCAAGGTTATCCAACAGCAAGTTCAAGGGAAGCCTGGGCTAGAGAATTTGTCTAAAAAAATTAATAAATTTGAAGGCTGAGAACATAGCTCAGTGACAGAGGATTTGCCTATAATGTGCAAGACCCTAAATTCCACCTCCAAGACTGCCTCCCTCCTCCAAAAAGGTGAGAAGTCATGCGGTTCAAAGACGCCCTCCACTTAGGTATTACCTGTTCAAATATCAATGTATTCATTTAAGCATACAGCTGCTTATTAAGTAGACTGAACAAGATTTTTTTTTGGTCTTTTTGAGACAGGGTCTACCTGTACCAGGTGTCCTAGAACTCACTATGTAGACAGGCTGGCCTTGAACTCACAGAGCTCCGCCTGCCTCTGCCTCCCGAGCACTGGGATTAAAAGCGTGTGCCACCACGCCTGGCTAAGACTTTTTAAAAAAAATATTTTATGGTTATTAGTTTTATTTTATGTGTATGAGTATATTGCCTGCATGTATGTGAGTGCACCCGTGCCATGCAATGCCACGGAGGTTAGAAGAGGGCCTCGGATTCCCCTGGAACTGGAGTTAAGGATGGTTCATAGCCGCCATGTGGGTGCTGGGAATCGAACCCAGGTCCTCTGCAAGAGCAGTCAGTGCTCTTAACTGCTGAGCCATCTCTCCAGCCCCTGAACAAGATTTTTTAAAAAGCATTACATTGCAAAGTTTCTCAAAGTGACAGCAAACAATGAAAAGAGGAACCACAGCCACACAGAACCTTTGGTGTCATTCATCCTGGAGAGCCTGGACGTAAGTAATTCTCTTTCCTAGATTTCAAGTCTGGCTCTTTAAGGTGGTTGTTCTTTGCATAAGGAGCTACGGGGATGGAACAGTAAATAAAGGGAACTGGAAACAGTTCAGATGAAGGTAAATCAATATCTACTACTGCTAAGTTTTCTTGGCTAAAGCCAATGTGTGTGGGAAGAAAGTCGTATGCAGGCTGTAACTTTTGGAATAGGAAGAAAAGGCAGCATGTCTCAGCACCTCCAACTTCTGAAGATGCAAGTGTGTAAGGACTCTTTCCCTTGTGGAACACATAATTTCACTGCTTCTGGGGTGCAGGTGTCCTGAGTCCATTTTGTCAGAGGATGTCAGAGAAATCGGTTATTAGGCAGAGTTGGAAAAACAGTTTGAAGACATCAATGTTAGGAAACTTTCTCTTATAATCAGGAGTTGTTTTTTCCATTACCAAGAGATGGTGCTTACTCACCAAAGCTCTCAGGAGATAAGACAGTAGAAGATTACAGAAAAGCATGGGGGTTGAACTAAATGTCCATGGATTCCAACTCACTTTCCTTTCACTTGCTACGTCTCCCAGTCTCCACAGCCAGCAAAACTGCTCGAGCTGGATAATGCTACAGGGTGTGCAACACACACACACACACACGCACGCACGCACTGCTCAGGATAAGTGCCTTAAGGCGTGGGCAAGATAGGCTGCTCCATTACCCTGCTTCCTTCTCCACACTCTGGTGACAGTTCTGCTCAACTACTCACATGTGTCTCTCCACATTTGACACACCTCGCACACTTCCGTGTCCCGGCTTCTCTGTCCGTCGCCAGGCCCTCCACATCTGTCTCCAGTCTCTGCACCTTGCATCCACGCACTCATAGCACATTCAGTTGGGTCGCTCCCATCTTTTTTACCTCCGTACGCGTCAACGTCGCCGCCCACCCACTCCCTCGGTCCTCCCTCGTCCTCCCCATCCGCGCCCAGCCCTCACCTGGTGCTCACCCCGCACCCACGGCCGGTCCCCCGGCAGCCTGTCGTCGCCGGAGACGTCGTCTGGCCCCTGGTAGCCCAGGACGTGAGGGCAGCCGCGGAAGGCGAAGTCCTCGAGCTCGCGCAGGAGGCGCTGCTGCTCGGCCGGTGCTCCGCGCACCACCTGGCGCAAGCGGAACTGCACCTGCGCGAAGTGCGAGGACAGCGCGAGCAACGCAGAGTCCAGCTGCCGCCGCTCGGCCTGCAGTCGCCGCAGCGTGCCGGCCGCGTCGGGAGGGGAGCCCGAGGCCGCCCCAGGCTCCTCGCCGGCCGCCTCCTCCGAGAACGCCGCCACCCCGGGTCCCGCTTCGGCCACCGCCCCCACGGGGGCCCACCGGACGGCCTCGCAGGGCGGCAGCGACTCCTCATCCTCCTCCTCGTCCTTCGTCTTCGGCCCCACCGGCGTCACCTCAGCTACCGGCTCGGGAACCGCTTCCACAGCCGCCATCTTCCCGGAAACGCCGTCGCACTTCAGCCGCGCCCCCTGGCTACCATGGCAACCAGCGCTGGCAGGGAAGCCGGGAGGATGGTGGGTGGGGCCTGCGCGTTCGTGCGCCTGGAGGGCGGGGTGTCTCAGAGACTATTCCTTCCAGTAGCTTTTGTCTTTTTGAGACAGGGTCTCCCCGTAGCCCCAGCTGTCCTGGAACCCACTATGTAGACCAGGCTGGCCTTGAACTCACAGAGATCCCCCTGCCTCTGCCTTCCGAGTGCAGGGATTAAAGACGTGCACCACCACGCCCGGCAGCTTTACGTTTTTGAGCGCATTATTTTGGATTGTACGTTGGAGATACAGGTGAACGTGGCAGAAGACAGGTCATTCCCTGTGCATAGGGTCCAGGTAGCTCTTGCCCTGGTCGCAGCGGGTGGTGGGTGTTCCATTCCTAATCCATTAGGTTCTGGATATCCCCCAAGGTGCAGGGTTGGGGTGAGCTCGTCCTCCCGAGTGCAGCGCTCTAGGCAGTCGAGCCACGCCCCCCTTCCTTGCAACCATTCCCCCAGACCATGTAAGGAGAGGCAGCTGCTAAGGCGTCCCTAAGAGCTAAAGATAGAGGCCTCTGCCTGGGACTCCAAAGGCCACTGGGCAGCTGGAGCCGCCATGGAACGGTGAGTGTTTCTAGCCGCCGCAGAACTGACCCCACTCCCTCGCCCTTTTCCCTGCAGATTTCCTGCCCCACGTCTAGGAGCTGCAGGTTCCGACCAGTTCATTGGGAGCTCTGGACCTCAGGTCTGTGACGGTGGGTAAGGCATGATGTGACCTGAATGTATCCCCGAACTCCACCTCCCTAGTCTTCCCAGGTTCACACCTCACCATTTCCACCCAGTACTGCCACTCCACCCCACTTGGTTCTGGGGCTCCACCTGCGCCTATATTGCCCCCTACTTCTCCTCTACCCGACTGACTACCTTCAGTCTTGCCCACCCCTACGAAGCCCCCACTTCTACCGTCTTCAGGCAGCATGCCCGGACCCTGTGGTACGACAGGCCCAAGTATGTTCACATGGAGTTTTGTGTTGAGGACAGCACCGATGTCCATGTGCTCATTGAAGATGAGCGGATTGTGTTCAGGTAAAGATGCTGTCTCGGGGAAGGCCTGGCTTCCCAGGCTTGTGCGGGACACTCTTCCTGCATCTCAGCTTTGTTGTCTCCTCAGCTGTAGGAATGGTGATGGAGTGGAGTTGTACAACGAGATTGAATTCTATGCGAAGGTGAACTCCAAGGTGAGGATGGGGTAGGCTAGTAAGTTGTGGATGCCCAAAGAAAATGACATTTACTTAAAAACTCAGACCCTAAGAATGAGGCTTTCTAACCGATAGGACTCCCAGGATAAACGTTCAGGCCGCTCCATTACTTGCTTTGTGAGGAAGTGGAAGGAGAAGGTGGCTTGGCCCAGGCTCACCAAGGAGGATATTAAGGTGAGTGTGTGAGGAGTGGTCTGTTTTCTCTAGGTGGGAAACCAGGTGCTTGAGTTGCAGCTGGAATTGCCTGTGCCTCCTTTCCAGACAATATTCAGTGACTCAAGGAGCCTGTGTATTTTACCTCCAAATACAATTTTTTTTTTCAGTCTTTTTGAGACAGGGTCTCCCTGTAGCCCCAGCTGGCCTGGAACTTGCTATGTAGATCAGGCTGGCCTCGAACCAACAGAGATCCAACTGCCTCTGCCTCCCAAGTGCTGGGATTAAAGGCATGCACCACCACGCCTGGCTCCAAATACTCTTTTTTAAAAAATTATTTTATTAGGTCAGGTGTGGTGTCACATTCCTTTAATCCCAGCACTTGGGAGGCAGAGGCAGGCAGATCTCTGTGAGTTCAAGGCCAGCATGTTCTACATAGTGAGTTCCAGGCTAGCTGGGGCTACAGGGAGACCCTGTCTCAAAAAGACCAAAAAAAATTTATTTTATTATTTTTATTTTATGTGTTTGAGTGTAGTCCTTGCATATATGTAAGTGCACTCCTGTTGGTCAAAGACCACTGTGATCAGAAGAGGGCATCAGATGCCCTGGAAGCGGAGTTATGAACAATTGTTAGCAACCATGTGGGTGCTGGGACCCAGGTTCTCTGCAAAAGCAGCCAGTGAGCCATCTCCCCAGCCCCTCAAATACTCTTTTAAAAAAAAAATTGTGGGGCTGGAGAGATGGCTCAGCGGTTAAGAACACTGTTCTTGCAGAAGACCTGGGTTCTAATGCTAGCACCCACATGGCAGCTAACAGCTGTCCGTAACGCCAGGGAATCCGACAGCCTCTTCTGACCTCCGCTGGCATTGCATGACACGGGTGTACTTACCTACATGCAGGCCAATACATGTATACACATAAAATAAAAATAATAAATGAAATATTTTTTTAAAAATTGAGATTTTATTTTCATTTATATATGTGTGTGTTTGTGTAAATGTATCCTGTGTGTGGGGTGCCCATGGAGGCCAGAAGAGTTACAGGCAGTTGCAAGCTACCTTGTGGGTGCTGGGAACTGAGCTCAAGTCCTCTGGAGAGCAGGAAGCACTCTTAACCTCTGACTCATCTCTCTGACCCCCGTATTTTCTTATATTTTATTTATTTATTGGAAAGGGGCATGTGTGTGCCACAGCAGGGGTGTGGAGGTCAGAGGACAACCTGTGGGGTTGGTTCTCACCCTCCCCCATGTGGGATTGACTTAGGATATCAGGCTTGGCATTCTCTCTGTTTCCATTATCACCCTGCTCTCTTGTTTTCTTGGTCTCTGTTTCTCTCTCTCTGTCTCTGTGTCTGTCTGTCTCTCTCTCTCTCTCTCTGCTGTGTGTGTGTGTGTGTTTGTGTGTATGTGTGTATGTGTTTTCCTCCTTGATTATCTTTAAGCATTTGAATTGTGAATTGTGCCCCCTTTGATTGAAGTCCAGGCCTTGTAGCATAGCATATATCCCATTCCATCCCCTCTGCCTCAACTACATACCAGTTTTCACCTTTTTGCACAAAACAGGCTATTTCTCACCACTGTGCCTGTGCTCAATCTATATGTTTTTTCCAAAGAACCACCACCACCTTTGTCTTCACCCACCTAGCCCCTGTACATCCTTTATGATGCTGTCATTCCTGGAAGCCCAGATCCCCTAACTCCTTCCTAGGTTCCCATGATTTCCCCTGTATAAGTCTACATTAAAAATTATTTTAACACATTTTATTTTTTATTTTATGTTTATGAGTGCTTTGCCTGCATATATGTAAGTGCACCACATGTGTACCTGGTGCCCTTGAAGGATTGGATCCCCTAGAGCTGGAGTTAAGGATAGATGTTAGCCATCATGTGGATGCTAGGAACCAAACCCAGGTTCTCTGCAGGAACAGTCCGTGCTCTTAACTGCTGAGCTATCTCTGTAGCCCCAAGTCTACATTTATTTCATCAGTTATAATAATTTACTTTTTTTTTTTGTCTTTTTGAGACAGGGTCTTCTTGTAGCCCCAGCTGTCCTGGAACTCACTATGTAGACCAGGCTGGCCTTGAACTCACAAAGATCCTCCTGCTTCTGCCTCCCAAGTGCTGGGATTAAAGGTGTTGTGCCACCACCCAAATAAAATTAGATTTTTATGTGTATATCTGTGTGATTGTGTCATGGTATGCAAGTGGGGGTCAGAAGACAACTTGTTGGTTCTCTCCCACCTTGTGGATCTCCAGGGTTGAACTCAGGTTTTCAGGTTTGGCGGCAGGTGTCTTTCCCTGCTGAGCCATCTCACTGGCCCTCCCCAGTACTCTATCACCATACTTTCCACACTAGTACAATGATTTGTTTAGTTTACATCTCTCTTTCCCACTTTCTTTCCAAATGAGCTGACCAAAAATGGCCAAATATATAAAAATGACCAAATATATAAAAATATATTCTGTGTCTGTTTGGCTCCCAATAGGCATTCCATAAATGTATTAAAACCCAAAACAATCTGTTAAATTAATATGTATAATATGTATAAATGTGAGGATTAAAAATTGTTTTGCTTTCTTTTTTAAAAACAATTCTTTTAAAAAATTATTTACTATTTTATGTGTATGCATGTATTGTCAGCATGTAGGTAAATGCACCCATGTTGTGTATTCCCCGAAGGGGGCAGAAGAGGCTGTCGGATCCCCTAGAACTGGAGTAACAGACAGCTACCATGTGGGTGCTGGGATTCGAACCCAGGTCTTCTGCAAGAACAATCAGTGTTCTTAACTGCTGAGCCATCTCTCCAGCCCTGTTTTATTTTCTTTTGAGACAGGGTTTCATGTAACCCAGGCTGGCCTTTATATCCTGCTATATAGCTGAGGGTGAACTTGAACTCCGGTTCTCTTGCCCTCACTTCACAAGTTCTGGAATTATAAGCCAGCCACACCACACCTGGCTTTAAGTGTGGGAACTTTGGAACATGGTTCTCGAAGGGTTGCTTCTGACTCTAGGGAATGCAGGTGGTCTGTCTTGCTTGGTTGAATCCTATGATGCTTTATGCTGTCTCCTCAGTCAGACCACCCTTGGAGAGCAATACTTGTGTTTTTTCCAGACACTGTTATTCTGGGCATTGTGTTTGGCACCTGATATGTTCCTGATAAATATTTGGGGATGCCAGTGATAGCATAGCAGCTTGGGGAGCAGGTTGGCCCAAAGGGATGCTATTGGGAGGACTAGACCACATTAACCCTTTTCCCCCAGGCATGTTCCTATACACATGCCCCCACTTTCCTTGCACTCTTGCACCAGTAATTCTCTCTGCTTCCTCTTGCAGCCTGTGTGGCTGTCGGTGGACTTTGATAACTGGAGAGACTGGGAAGGAGATGAAGAGGTGGAGTTGGCTCAGGTGGAACATTATGCAGAGGTACAAGATACAATGCCTGCTACCCATTGTAATCATTTGGTGTCTATCTGTGTTCTAGTTTCCTTTTAATTGTTGTGACAAAACACTCTGACCAATACCAACATGGGGAGGAAAGGGTTTATTTGGCTCACATCTCCCAGGTCATCACTGAGGGAGTCCAAGGTAGGAACTTAAGGCAGGAACCTGGAGTCAGGAGCTGAAGCACAGGCTGGAGGAATGCTGCTTACAGGCTTCCTCCACCTGCTTTATTTATTTATTTTATTTATTTATTTTTCCACAAATCCACTTTTCTTTATTTATGTTCCATTAGTTTAAATCCGTGAGGGGTACAGCATCACTCGGATTCTGTGTCCAATGGCCTTTGCAGGAAGATTGCTTCGGAATTTGGCACGAACCATGCCACTGTTTCTATGGGCCTGGGTTACCTTTCCCCAGGTTACTCTGGTTTTGTTTGGTTTGTCACTAGGAGTCACTGTGTTGTTTTTTGCTTTATACATGTCAGTGCATCTCTTGCCTAAGTAGAATTCAGTTTCATCTCGGGCATAAAAACCTTCAATTTTTTTTGGGGGGGGGTGTCTTTTTTTTTTTTAAATATTTTATTATTTTTATTTTTATGTGTATGAGTATATTGCCTGCATGTATGTGAGTGCACCCGTGTCGTGCATTGCCACGGAGGTCAGAAGAGGGCTTCGGATGGAGTTAAGGACGGTTCATAGCTGCCATGTGGGTGCTGGGCATCGAACCCAGGTCCTCTGCAAGAGCAGTCAGTGCTCTTAACCACTGAGCTCTCTGCAGCCCCCAAGGGGGGGGGGGTCTTTTTGGGACAGGGTTTCCCTATAGCCCCAGTTGACCTGGAACTCACTATGTAGACCAGGCTGGCCTTGAACTCACAGAGATCTGCTTGCCTCTGCCTCCCAGGTTCTGGGATTAAAGACATGCGACACTACACCTGGCTAAACACCTTCAATTTTAAGAAGAGCTGTATGCTCTTGTTGGTTCCAAAGACCTCCTTTGTAGCCAGCAAAAGTGGCCTTGCACCACAGCCTTCCAGACATATTTACCTTTTAGAAGTCCTGTTCCCAGCAGGCCTCCACTGGCACCAAGATGGCAGAAAGAGCTTTATATTTTTTAATATTTTATTTGCATTTTATGTGTATGAGTGTATATCCTGCATGTAGGTAAGTGCACCTGTGTCGTGCAGCCCTGCAGAGATCAGAAAAGAACATTGGATTCCCCTGGAACTGGAGTTACAGGGGGTTGTTAGCTGCCATGTGGGTGCTGGGAATTGAACCTGGGTCTGGGTTTTCTACAAGAGCAATCAGTGCTCTTAACTGCTGAGCCATCTCACCAGCCCCAGTCACCCTGCTTTCTTTCTTTCATTCTCTCTCTTTCTTTTTTTTTTTTTTTTTTGGTTTTTTTAAGACAGGGTTTTCCTGTAGCTCCAACTCGCCTGGAACTCCTTATATAGATCAGGCTGGCCTCAAACTCACAAAGATCCACCTGCCTCTGCCTCCTGAGTGCTGGGATTAAAGGTGTGCAACACCAGCTTGGCCCAGCCTGCTTTCTTGTAATACTGAACAACCTCCCACAGTGGGCTGGGCCTTCCCATATCACTCAACAATCAAGAAAATGCCCCACAGACATGACCACAGGCCAGTCCAATGGAGGATGTTGAGTTTTCCTCTAGCCAGGTGTGTCAAGTTGACAACTAAACTACCCAGAACAGGCTGTATACATTTCTCTGGGAATTATCAAGGTCAGGCAGGGATATTCAGGCTCCCTAGACAGCTCACTGATTGGTACTTATACTCTAATATTTCATGCAGTCTTTATTTAGTAGGAATGAGAGAAATGAATATTAGTGAAATTTAAATTAATTTTATGTGTATTAGTGTTTGCCTGCCTGCATGTATGTATGCATAGCATATACATGCCTGGTGCTTGTGAGGCCAGAAGTAGCATTGGATCACCTGGAAATGGAGTTACATGGTTGTGAGTTGCCATGTGGGTGCTGGGAACCAAGCCTGGGTACTCTGCAAGAGCAGCCAGTGTCATCTCTTCAGTCTCTAAATTTTTTTTTTTTTGCTTTTTGAGACAGGATCACCCTGTAGCTCCAGCTGGCCTAGAACTCACTATGTAGACCAGACTGGACTCAATATCACCTGCCTCTGCTTCCCACATGCTGGGATTAAAAGTGTGCACCGCTATGACTGACTCAGCCCCTAAATTTAAAAAATTACATTTTATTTATTTTGTGTGTATGTGGGTCCACATATGCCATTAATGCCATTAATGCATGTAGAGATCAGGAATTTTGCAAGTCTGTACTCTCCCACATTGGTTCCAGGAACTGAGCTCAGGCCATCAGGCTTGACAGTAGGTGCCTTTACCTACTAACCCATCTTCCAGTAGTGAAATTTACACAGATTCACCTATTGACCTGTTTGCAGAGTAATACCTGCAGTCTGTAAAAGTTTAGCAAAAACCTCTTCCCAACACTCTCTAATTCTTTTATTTGTTTTTCTTTTCAGCTAGAAAGTTTCATGGGAATCTAATACTAAGTAGTATAAAATTCGTATCATAAAACAGATTGATGGTTCCCAATAAACTGCATCCTGTCATATGTGATTGGGTTTCAGAAAATCAGCAACTCTTTAATTCAAATTGTAAAGGGGCTAACAGCCCCCCCCAACTTGGATTAATAAGGAGGGTGCTTTGTATGTATATTTATATAGACTTTTTTCCTTTGTGAGATAGGATCCTGCTAAATAGTTGAGGTTGGTCTTGAACTTGAGGTCCTCCTGCCTCCTCTTGAGTGCTGCAGTTATAGGCCTGTGACATGGCACACCACACCCAGCTTAAATTAGCTTTTTTTTTAAATTAAAAAAACAAGGCCACGGTCCCATATAATTCAGGCCAATCTCCAACTTGCTGTTTAGCTGAGGCTGGCTTTGAATTTGTGATCCTCCTGTTTCCACCTGCCAAGTGCTAATATAGGCATGTACTAACAAGCCCCACCTTAAATGAACTTTAAAAAAAATTATTATTATTTTATGTGTATTCGTGTATTGCCTACATGTAGGTAAGTGCACTTGTGTCATGCAATGCCCAAGGAGGACAGAAGAGGCCGTTGGATCTCTGGAACTGGAGTTATGGACAGTTGTTAGCTGCCATGTGGGTGCTGGGTCTTATTGTAAGAACAGTCAGTGTTCTTAACCGCTGAGCCATCACTCCAGCCCCTTAAATGAACTTTTTTTTTTTTTTTGGTCTTTTTGAGACAGGGTCTCCCTGTAGCCCCAGCTGTCCTGGATTCACTATGGAGACCAGGCTAGCCTCGAACTCACAGAGATCTGCCTGCCTCTGTCTCCTTGGTGCTGGGATTAAAGGCGTGTGCTACCGCACCCGGCTTTAAATGAACTCCCCCCGCCCCTCTAAATGAACTTTTAAGAAGGCAATCAATGTACTTTTTTTTCTCCAATTAATTCCAGTGATGTGTTAGGGGTTTGAAGATGGGAAGAGTTGCTTGGCTGGGTCTGTCTGGGACAATTCTGTGTTCTCCTAATAAGCAGATTTGTTTTCTGTCACCTTCTTTTTCCCATGTGACTACTTTCTCTTCCCATTAGCTTTTGAACAAGGTCAGTACCAAGAGACCTCCCCCTGCCATGGATGATCTGGATGTAAGTAATGCCTTCTCCTAGACCTTTCAGTTTGTTTTAGTATTTCAAAATAACATAGTAGAGCTGGAGGTATAGCTCAAGAGACAAGTACTGGCTCACCATGCATGAGGTCTACTCCTCCCCAAAAGGAATAGCATTTCTTTTATTATGTGTATATATGTGTGGCTGTGCATGGGAGTACTGATGCCAGTGGAGGCCAGAAGAGGATGTCCAATCCCTTGGACCTAGAGTTGCAGGGTATTGTGAGCTCCCCATTGTGGGTGCTGGAAAATGAACTCTAGTCCTCTGGAAGAGCAGTAAAGGCCCTTGATGCTGTCAGAGTGAGGTTATCTAGGGTTGTAGGAACAGATTCTCTTTCTCTACCAATTTAAAGAATAAAAAGGCAGTAAAAACTTTCCTCTGGCAGGAAAAGCACACCAAGTCTTTGTCTTGGTGAAAGAGAAGAATCAGGAAATTGGCCATCTTAAATGTTTAACTGAAAAGTTCATTAATTTAATTTACCTGGAGCCTCTTTCCCTGTCTGTCTGCTTACCATGGAGCTATCTGACTCTTAGTCCCTCACTCTTACCTGCTGAGCCATCTCTCTGGTTCCTGCAAAAAAGAATAGAACAAAACAAAACCATCACAAAATGTAAATATACTAGTAGAAAGCTTGTATTCCATTCCTTAGCACACAGTGCTTCTCTTTTTGTTGGCCTGATTTGAGTTTGAATGTCCTTTAAGGCTTAGCAAGACCCTTTTCCCTTCCAACTCCCCCATTCTAGAGCAAACCTGGCTCTGTTGATTTTTTTTGTTTGTTTTTTTAAAATTTATTTATTATTTTTATTTTACGTATATGAGTGTATTGCCTGCGTAAGTATACCCGTGTTGGGCAATGTCTGTGGAGGTCAGAAAAAGGTATCAGATCCCCTGGAACTGGAGTTACGAACAGTTGTTATTCCTTGTGGGTGCTGGGATTCCAACCCCGATCCTCTGCGCAAGCAATCAGTGCCCTTAACCACAGAGCCATCTCTCCAGCCCTGTTTTTTTGTTTTGTTTTGTTTTTGTTTTATGACAGGTCTCATTATATAGTCCTGGCTCGCCTGGAATTTGCTATGTGGACCAGGCTGCCAGAACTTACAGTGATCTGCCTGCCTCTGCCTCTCAAGTGTTGGAATTACAGGTGTGCCACCATGCCAGGCCCAATTTTTTTTTTCTTGTTGAATATTTACAGCTTTAAGGAGCAGTAGCATTACTTGACATTCTGAAACTAAGTGATGTACAATAGAGTAATGCATTGAGTACCAGTGGTTTTATTTATTTGTTTGTTTGCTTGTTTTGAGACAGGGTATCCCTATAGCCCCAGCTGGTCTGGCACTCACTAGTAGACCAGGCTTGCCTTGATCTCCTAGAGATCCACCTGCTTCTGCAGTGGTTTACTTTATTACCCAAAGTTAAAGCCTTTGGTCTTAGCTTCTTTAGATGCTTTTTTTTTTTTGTCTTTTTTGAGACAGGGTCTCCTTGTAGCCCCAGCTGCCCTGGAACTCACTATGTAGACCAGGCTGGCCTCGAACTCACAAAGATCCACCTGCCTCTGCCTTCCAAGTGCTGGGATTAAAGGTGTGCGCCACCACGCCCAGCAAGATGCTTTTTTTTTTTTTTTTTTTTTTTTTTAAAAAAAAAAGATGCTCTTATGATGCTTAAGATGGTTTAGGAAATTAGGAGAGTAGGAGTGAGCAGCAACTGTGAACACAGGTCACTACAGAAACTTCAGGCACCTGCCTTCTTTTTTCCCTCAGGATGATTCTGACAGTGCAGATGCAACAATTAATTAACTTTCGGTGACAGAGTTGGAGAAGAGGATGTGGCTACCTTCTGTTCTACTGAAAAGCCATGACGGAGCCTTTGTCAGCTCTTTTCTTGTGCAGCAAGATCTACAGAGATCTCTGGACTTCTCTAGAAGCTCCTTCTTAAGGGTCCCCTGTCATGATTTATGTATTCCTCCTGGGCACTTGAGCATGGTCCTGCATCAGAAAGTAGGAAAGGGGAGGAGCAGACTGGTGGGACTTTTGACTTCCCGACTGACTTAGAATCCGTGCTCAGGATGCTTGGTTATTTGGACTTGGTGTACATGTGGCAAAGCAAAAGCCAAAGAAGGAAGATTCGAATTACAATAAAGCTCTAGGAATGGTTCTCCGTGTCTTTTCTTCATGTACTTTTTCCTTTTGGTGGCAAGACTGTTCTCTCTCCAAAGCTCCTCTCGAGGTAATGGGTTGGAGTTTAGAGATTCTGGCACTCTTTGAGGTGGGAAGATATCTGGACAGAGTTGTATTCAAGCCAAACGACTCCCTCTCACCCAGATCCCTGTTATTCCTTTTGCTTCCTGACCTCCCTGGCTTTCTGCATGCACCAGACATCTCTATATTTTCAAAACTAATTGTTGCTCTAATGCTCATACCAGTTACTCTTCCATTTGATAACTGCTTCCACAAACAGTTTTTGAATCCCTAATGATGTGTACAGAAGACTGACTTTGGGGCTGGAGAGATGGCTCAGCAGTTAAGATCATTGTCTGCTCTTGCAGAGGACCTTGGTTCAGTTCCCAGCACTCACATAGCAGCTTACAACTGTCTGTAACTCCAGTTCCAACATCTTCTGACTTCAGAGGGCACCGGCACATGTGGGACATATACATATATGCAGGCAAACCCTCATACATGTTAAAAAAAAACAAAACAAAAAAAAAACCACTGTGGCTTAAATGCAAGGTTCACTCACAGACTATGTTGTTGAACTCTGAGTATTGGGATTTGTTTTAAAAATGAACCTTAGGAGCTGGGCATGGTGGCACACACCTTTAATGCCAGCACTCCGGAGGCAGAGGCAGGTGGATCTCTGAGTTCAAGACCAGCCTGGTCTACATAGGGATTTCCAGGCCAGCTGGCGCTATAGGGAGACCTTGTCTCAAAAAAGCCAAAAAAAAAAAAAGTTTATATAAGCAGTAAATTGATAATAGTTTTTAAAAATGAAGTTGTATGGAAAGTAAAATTTGTACTTCTCATAGGGGTAACCACTAACAGTTTTTTTTTTTTTTTTAAGAGGTTTTGTTTATTTGAGATAGAGTCTTATTATATATCCCTGGTTGACCTGGAACTCACTATGTAGACCAAGCTGACCTCAAACTCCCAGAGCTCCATCTGCCTGCCTCTGCCTCCCGAGTGCTGGGATTAATGGTAGGTGACACCATGCCTGGCCCATTAACAGTTTTTCAGTAAATATATATATATATATTTGTTTATAATATATTTTTTGATTATCTCTAATTTGAAAATACAAAATCTGAAATGCTGTGAAATCTGAAATGTTGCTTTAATATTTTTTATTTTTATGTGTATACGTATATTGCCTGCATGTATATAAGTGCACCCCTGTTGTGCAATGCCCATGGAGGATAGAAGAGGCTGTTGGATCCCTTGGAACTGGAGTTATGGACAGTTGTTAGCTGCCATGTGGGTGCTGAGATTCGAAACCGGGTCTTCTGCAAGAACAGCCAGTGTTCTTAACTGCTGAGCCATCTCACCAGTCCCAAAATCTGAAATGTTAAATGCACCCATGTTGTGCAATGAAGGTGGAGGCCAGGAGAGGGCATCAGATATCTTGCAACTGCAGTTACCCATGCAGTTAGCTCCATGTGGGTTCTGGGAACTGAACCTGGATCCTCTGCAAGTGCAGCCAGTACTCTTAACAGCTGAGCCATCTCTCGAATCCATTTATTTATTTGTTGTGTGTTTTGCATGCTATATGTGCAATGTCTATGGAGGCCAGAAGAGGGCATCAGATTCCCTGGAACTGGAGCTAGATTGTTACCCACCTTATGGATGCTGGGAACTTAACCTGAGTACTCTGCAAGACCAGCAGGGCTCTTAACTTCTGAGCCATCTCTCCAGCTGCCCCCTCCCCACCCCTGTTTTTTTGAGCAGCCTCTGAATTTGTGATCTTCTTGCATCACCATCCCAAATGCTATGATAGACATGAGATACCATGCTTGGCAAATCTGAAACTGATTGCTGACATGATGCTCAAAAAGTTCCAGATTTTGTGTCTGGCATAATGGTGCACCCACTTGGGAGGTAGAGGCAGGTAGATCACTGTGAGAATGAGGCCAGTTCGATCTATGTAGTGGGTTCCACGCCAGTTGGGGCTACAGGGAGACCCTATCTCAAAAACAAAACAGAAGTTTCAGATTTTGAGAGCAACTGCAGAAGTGGGTGCTTAGGGTCAGGTTGACTGAAGCTTGGGGAGCTCAGCCTGTGTGTACTTGTAGTAACTGCTTTTGGCTGAACTTTCCCATCTGCGGCTCAGGAGAAAAACTGATGAAGCTCTGCTGTGCTTGCCCAGAGACCAAGAATGCTTGTGATGTATGGGTTGTTGAAAAAGGAGAACACCGGGGACATCTAATTGAAGCCTACAAGGAGTGCATGAACACCCTGGAATTTAAGATATCACATGGAGGCCTACTCTGTGAATGAACAGTTCTTGAAGAATTAATAAGATTAAATATTTTGGAAGTTCTTTGATGAACTTTGATAAGTATAATTTGTTTTTTTGAAAAGGAAAGAAAAGGCCAGGTATGATGGCATATATCTTTAATCCCAGCACTTGGAAAGTAGAGGCAGACAGATCTCTCTGAATTTGAGGCCAGCCTGGTCTACACAGCATGTACCAGGCCAGTCAGGGTCTCACTCTGTAGCCCAGGCTGGCTTCGAACTCAATATGTATTCCTGACTGGGGTTAACTATTTCTAATTTTGCTGCCTCAGCCTCCTGAGAACCATCATGCCAGGCTTTGAAAATTTTGTGTGGAAAAAAGATAAAATGAGTGAGGAGAGATGATTCGGGTTAAACGCTTTGGCTGTTCTTGCAGAAGACCCGGTTTGAATCCTGGGATTTACATGGGGTCTAACAATCATCTATAACTCCAGGGGATCCTAAACCCTCTTCTGTCCTCCCGGGTACAGCACAACCTAGGTGCACTTACATACACGCAAGCAATACACTCATACACATAAAAGAAAAAGAAAAACAAAAACAAAAAACCAAAAAACACTGGACTAAAGAATATCCGTTACATGATGAAGTAATATTCTGGATACGCTAATTTAAATAAAATACAACTAATATACGCCTCGTCCATTTTTGTCCTGCAGGGTCTCCGCGGACTAAGTTACACTGCCCAACCGGCTTGCTGAACTACGTCCCAGTTCGGGTTGAGAGTTTTGTGGTCTTTTTCAGTCTTAAAACAGTTGCAAAACAAAGCAAAACACCTGCAGTCAGCTTTTTTCTGTGATTTTGGTCAGATCACACCCTTTCCTCCGCACTCAGGATTCTGCGCAGAAACACTCTCTTAACGAAGTTTGTCCCACGTCGCTCTCCATTGCCGGCCTGGCTTTTCAGCGCGCGCGCGGGGCTGCGGGGCCGGAGAGACCGCGATGGCGTTCCGGTGTCAGCGTGACAGCTACGCTCGGGAGGTGCGGCCGGGTGGGCGAGGGTGGCACCGGGGGAGGGAGGTCGGGGACGGGCTCGGGCAGCGGATGGGCGGCCCGGCCTGGCTCACGCGCTCACCCTTCGCACAGTTCACCACCTCAGTGGTCGCCTGCTGTCCTGCAGAGCTGCAGACCGACGCCGGCGGCAAGAAGGAGGTCCTCCGCGGTTTCCACGTAGTGCTGGAGGACACGCTGCTTTTCCCCGAGGGCGGGGGCCAGGTGCCGCAGCCAGACCCCTCCCAGGACCCCCGCGTGGCTGTTCGCCCAGGGAAAATGCTCTCAGCCTCTGGGTTCAAATGGTTCCCTTCCTTAGTCCTTCAGCAACTGCTTACGTAGCGATGACATATGTAGGCTCAAAGGGTGAACCAGACAGCCATAGGTGCTTATTACAGACAAACCCTGAGTGCCAGCTGTAGGTGACACTAATGTCAATAACAATAAAGCGGACTAAAGGGAAAGAAAGGTGGAGTGCGCTCCTTTACAGGGGACAGGCTGTGAAGGGAAAGGTGAGCCTCTGAATGGTACTGGGGCAAGGCGGATATTTTAGGCAGAGTAAGGGTGCCAAGGCCCTGAGGTGGGAACTAACACGACGTGTTTGACAGGGCCTGGCAAAGATGCTGCAGAGAGAGCCAGTGAGGGAAGTGGCTTCTCAGTGCTTTGATGGAGACGCTAGGTGCAGTATTAACAGAAGAAAGTGAGGGTTGGAGAGATGGCTCAGGGCTTAAGAATACTGCTTGCTCATGCTGAGGACCCAGGTTTTGGGTTTGGTTCTCACCACCCACATGGAAGCTCATGATTGTCTGTAGCTCCAGTTCCAAGGGATCCAACACCTTCTGGCCTCTGAGGGCACTGCATGCACGTGGTGCACTTACATACATGCAGGCAAACACTCATACATAGAAAATAAAACATAAAGTGAAAGATGATGGTAGCATCAGAGGTGGGCATTATGAGAGAGGTTTTGCTAGCAGGGTTGATAGTGTAAACAAGGGCAGGGGTGCTGAAGGAATCAGGCAGGTCTACTTAGTTGTAAACAAAATAGTCCAATATAATTTGAGCTTGTACATATTCATGACCAGCTGGAGATAACTGGAAAGGCACTTGAGGCCAGTTCAGAAGGCCTTGAAAGATGTATTCAGGGATATAGACTTCATTCAGGAAAGTTGTGAGCCTTGGAGGTTCCTAAGCAAAGAGTTGAGAGGGAACACATTTTGTAGGCCTGTGAGGGGAAAAGTTTCAGTGTCATTATTATAGTGATTTTTTTTCTCTCTCATATGGAGGGTTCCTGATCTGCTAAAGGAAAACCTGTGACTCTCAAGTCTTTATAGAGAGTTTTATTTTTAACTTTTTTTTTTTTTTGGTCTGACTGCTGGCCTGGATTTGCTGTGGAGACCAGACTGGCCTCGAACTCCCAGAGATCTGCCTGCCTCTGCCTCCCAAGTGCTGGGATTAAAGGCATACACCACCACCCCCACCTATTTTTAACATATTTTAAATTTCACTTATTTATTTGTGCACATTTGCCGTAGTACACATGTGGAGGTAAGAGGACAGCTTGCGGGAATTGGTTTTTTCCTTCTACCATATGGGTTCTGAGGATTGAATTCAGGTTGTGAGGCTTGGTGGTGAGTGCCTTTACCCACTGAGCCATCTTCTGGCCCTGAAAGTCTCATTTTAGACATCACTTCCTTCAGGAAGTCTTCCCTGATTCCACAAGACTATTAGGTCACTTTTGGTTGAGTTTCTGTAGTGTCATCTATATGCCTTACTTACACTGCATTATTGGGTTGACACAGTGTCTTATAGCAGCTGGCGTCTTACTAAAATCTTCAGTGCTATGCTTAGGATTTCCTTCTGTTTTATTTCTGCTGTTCTGTTCTAAAGAGTTATTTATAAGGCTGGGCATGGTGGCACACGTCTTTAATCCCAGCACTTGGGAGGCAGAGGCAGGTGGATCTTTGTGAGTTCAAGGCCAGTGGTCTACATTAAAAATAAGTAAGCCGCCGGGCATGGTGGCGCAGCCTTTAATCCCAGCACTAGGGAGGCAGAGGCAGGTGGATCTTTGTGAGTTCAAGGCCAGCCTGGTCTACATAATGAGTTCCAGGACAGCTGGGGCTACAAGGAGACCCTGTCTCAAAAAGACAAAAAAAAAAAAGAAAGAAAAGAATTACGTATATAAGTGTTCAGAGAAAAGAGGACCAACCCCACCTGACACTGCCTCTTCCTCCCTTAGGGAACTCAAGATTCTGGGTCTGTCTCTCATAGACTTCCCCTAGAAGTCTTTGCATCTAGGAAGAAGGGTGAGTCCTGCCCTAGTATTGATTACTGCTTTCTCCCAGCCTGATGATCGTGGCACCATCAATGACATCCCTGTGCTGAGAGTGACCCGCCGGGGTGCCCAGGCTGACCATTTCACACAGACACCTCTGTCCCCTGGGAGCCAGGTCCAGGTCCAGGTGGACTGGGAGCGGAGGTTTGACCACATGCAGCAGCATTCAGGTAAGGACCAGAGGAAGGGGACATACAGGGAGATGTGGTTGCCATAGATTGAGGTGGTGTTTCAATTCTGTGGATGCTTAACCTTGTAAATATTTTATTATTTTTTTAACATATTTTTTAATGATTTTATGTATATGAGTGTATTGCCTGCCTGTAGGTTAAGTGTACCCATGTTGTGCAATGCCTGTGGAGGTCAGAAGAAGGCATCGGCTCCCCTGAAACTGGAGTTACTGATGGTTGTTAGCTGCCATGTGGCTGCTGGGAACTGAACCTGGGTCCTTTTCAAGAGCAGCAGTACTGTTAACTGCTGAGCTATCTCTTTAGTCCTGGCACTAACCTTTTAGGAGACACAGATATACTCAGAATAGTTTTGATTCAGGTAGGTTATGATGAGTGTTCTGAAAACACCATGAGCAGTCAAAGTACTAAAAGAGCTACTGACCTTGTTTTTACCCACCTTTTTCACATTTATTAATTTGGGAGGTGGGGAGAGTATACCTGTCCTACCATGTGGGTCCCGGGGATTGGATTTGGGTTGTCAGACTTCCTGGTAAACAACTTTACCCACTGAGCCATCTTTCTCACTGGCCCTCACTGTTTCTTGAGACAGAGTTTTATTGTGTAGCTTTTGCTGGCCTGAAGCTTGTTTTGTATACCAGGCTGACCTCAAACTTGTGGCACTCCCTCCCCCCACTCCCAAATACTGGGATTCCAAGCATGCCATCATGCTCTCTTACTGCTGGCTGAGTAATACCAATTACCCACTTGGTATCTCCATCTGGATGTTTAAAAAATTCAGTGTCCAAAATAAAATGGGAAGTTTTCCTCTCCTACCTGGGCTTACAGTGGCATCCTGTGTGTTTAGTGCTGGCATTAGCATGTACTCAGTTTCTCAAATCCTGAAATTCACTCCAGGTGCCTCTTTGGGGAAAGCGTGTCAGTCACTGAGTCGTCTTCATTTATTGTCTAAATATCTTTCCAGTTCCTTCCACTCTTGCTGCACTCATTCTGGTTCCAGCGCTCACCGTCTTCTCCTTCACCTCTGGCTGATTTTCTCACATTCAGTCTCACATTCAGCCCCTATACCTTTCTTCCCATACAACAGCCAAAACAGCAACCCCCCCAAGTGAAGGATTAAATCCAGGACATCATGGCACAGAGTGATCTATTTTCCTACAGTCCTGAGAGCCTTGTGTGTGCTAGTCAAGCACCTACCACAGAGCTGCTTCCCTAGCCTCAGTCTAATCTTAAAAAGAAAACCTGATTATGTCACTCCTTGCTCTTCAGACTCTTCCTGTGGTTCTGTGTAAAGCTGTTCTTGTCACAAACCTATGAGGGTGGCCCTTGTCTGCCATTCCAGCCTCATCTGGTGCCTCTACACATCTTGCTGCACCCCAGCCACACCAACCTTCTCACCACTGCTGAACTTACCATCTCTTTTCTCCTCAAAACTTAGGTGGTCTTCTCCCTGTCTTTATAGTTTTTCTTTCTTTCCTTTCTTCATCTTCTTCCTTTGTGCCCTTCCCAGTCATAACTCCTACCCCATCTCTGATGCCAAGCCCTGCATTTTGCATGTGGTAGGTACTCAGTAAACATTTGTTTATGGAAGAGGAATGCCACAGAGAACTAGAACTCACATGCTGCTTCTAATGAGCTCCTGTGCCTTGGCAAGTTTTTGTGACATAGTATCATAAAGATGCCAGGAGTATTCTCGTAATGATTTTCTTTCTTTTTTCTTTTTGCAATACTGGAATTGAACTTAGGGAAAGCACTCTGCCACTGAGCTATATTCCCAACCCTTTTAATGAGTTTCAGTAAAGCATGTAAAATGTCTGGCAGGCTTTCAACAAGACTTCCTGAGATTGTCTCATTGTGGGACTGTGTGGCTGGGCTTTTCACTTCTCTCCTGTCTCCTGCTCTTTGCTTAGGGCAGCATCTCATCACAGCAGTTGCTGACCATCTCTTTGGGCTGAAGACAACATCATGGTGAGTAGGGGGCACAGGATGTGACAGGTCCCTGACTACCAGCTCTGTTCCCAATAGGGTTAGGATAGGAAGATAAAAGAAAGGGCAGTGTTCAAAATTGACTCTGTTTTCCTCCTCTTGATGATTGCATGGTAGGATGACTTTGTGTTTCTTAAAAGAAACTCAGGGATGAGAGCAGAGGCATCTGCCTTTGCTTGAGAAAGAACAGGGAATTTGGAGCCCAGAGACCTTGGGGCTGAGTCCCTGGTCATGGTCCCTAATAACCTTCACTTGTCAAATGAGAATGTAAAAGTGGGGTTTTTGTGTTGATTAAATAATTTATGTGGACTTTTTTTGGGGATTAAAGGTATGCGCTGCCATACCCGGTTTGTTTTTTTGAAATAAGATCTTGCTATATAGCCCAGACTGGCTTTGAACTCACTGTGTTCAAGGTTGGCCTTGAACTCACAGCAATTAGCCTCCCAAGTGCTGGGGTTGCAACGTGCCCCCCCATCCCCAGCTGTCGTATGAACATTCCTTTTTTTTGTTTGTTTATGTTATTTCATCTTTTCTGAAACAGAGTCTCATGCAGCTTCTGGTTGGCTTTGAACTCGCTATGTATTCAAAGGTGACCTTAAACAAACTCCTGGTCCTCCTGCCTCCATCTCCCAAGCACTGTGATTATAGGCATGCACCACAACACTCTGTGAACATTCTTCAGAAACTTTCTTAATTGCCCTAATCAGCATTGCTGAAACTACTCTCCTTTTTGTGGCAGGGAATTAGGGCGACTCCGGAGTATAATTGAGCTGGACAGCCCTTCTGTTACTGCAGAGCAAGTGGCTGCCATCGAACAGAGCGTCAATGAGAAAATCAGAAATCGGCTGCCTGTGACTGTGCGAGAGCTGAGCCTAGATGATCCTGAGGTGGAGCAGGTGAGAGGGGAGCAGGAGCACTGGCTTCTGCAGAACGGCTCTTCCCGGGCTCCTCATCAAAATTCAAACAGCCCTGTTAGCTTCCTTCTGTTTCAGGTGAGGGGTCGGGGCCTGCCAGATGACCATGCGGGGCCCATTCGAGTTATTACGATTGAGGGCGTTGATTCCAACATGTGCTGTGGGACCCATGTGAGCAATCTCAGTGACCTTCAGGTAGGTGAGGAGGGTTGTGGAATGTTTGAAGGAGAAGCTGGGGGTGGTGGGAGCAGGGCAGAGTGCTGCGGGGGGGGCGGGCAACTGAGGAGTCTATTGAATTTTTCATCCATTGCTTCAGAGCTGGAGAGGTCTGTTTTCTCTTTTCCTCACGTCCTGAGGCCCGTTGTGTGTGTATGTGTGTGTGTGTGTATGATCTCCTTTGTGTAGGTCATTAAGATTCTGGGCACTGAGAAGGGGAAAAAGAACAAAACCAACCTGATGTTTCTGGCTGGAAACAGAGTACTGAAGTGGATGGAGAGAAGTCACGGAACTGAAAAGGCTCTGACCACTCTGCTTAAGTATGCCCCTCAGCTGCCCCCTGTTCACGAGGCCTGGGTTTGCTTTTCTACCTGTAAGGTAGTCAGAATAATCTACTACCTCTGGAGAGCAAGGTGCCACAGTGACTCAGACCCACATAAATGGTTTATTCCTTTATATCCTTCCTCCCAGTTGCTTAAGAGCCTCTTGAATGTTCCCATCTTGAGGAAGGCACCCCAGCAAAGAGGGTATCCGGTATCATTGATTTATGCACCTGGGCAGTTGGCCGGTCTCTACTGACCTTTGTCTTGCAGGTGTGGGGCAGAGGAGCATGTGGAAGCAGTGAAAAAGCTTCAGAACTCCATCAAGCTCCTGCAGAAGGTGATTGATTCTTTGGAGTGGAGAGGGCCTGGGCTCTGCCTGGAATAGACTCTCTAGACCCTGCTGTCTGCCTGAGCTCATAATGTGGTTTATTGAGGAGGTGGGGGGAGAACAGGAGGAGGGATGATGGTGCTCAGTGTTACCCTTTCTACCTGTGTACTGAGCTTTCACATCCATTTCAGAACAACCTGAATCTCCTCAGAGACCTGGCTGTGCACACTGCACACAGCCTCAGGAGCAGCCCAGACTGGGGAGGTGTGGTTGCATTCCACAGGTGAGAAATCAGGAGCTGGAGACAAGGCAGGGGACGAGTTGGCTTAGGTGTCAGCCTCTCCCCTAAGTGCAGTGCACTGTGGGAGGCGTGTTGCTTAGTGGTATTTTAGGTCCAGTGGACCCTAGGAAATGTGTTACTAGAGTCCCTGAGTTTGACATTAGCACCTTCACTGTAACCATGTAATGTGATTAGCACCTTCCCTCACCTCCTCCATCTAGTGGATCTCTTGGTGAATACTATCAAGAGAGACAGAAGCAAAAAAGCTTATGTGTAAACTGCTGAGGCTCACAAGGGAGTCTAATCTATGCCAAGGGTCCCAGGCTTTGTGTGCTGAAACAGAAAGCAGTGAAATCTGTCATCAGCCTGTCTCAGGAGGAAGAGCCAAGCCTTCTGCAGTTTCACAGCCTCACTTCAACCTGGATTTCATGTCTGTTTCCTTTGTCTAGGAAGGAGGGTGATTCTGAGTTCATGAATATCATTGCTAATGAAATTGGGTCAGAGGTAAGAGGAACATGCCATCCTGTCCACCTTAGAGAGGCCTTGGGAAGCATAAACAAAGGATATCAGCTTAGCCAAATCCTTCCACATTAACACAGAAGTTCATCAAGTGCCTTCTTAGCATTGGTCCTGATCCAAGTTGTTGTGGTACTGAGCTAGAGTTATGCTGGGGCTTCTGGGGCTGTGACATTTATCAGCTTTCCAGTGGGGTTTTAAGAAAGCTCCTCAGATCCGGGCGTGGTGGTGCACGCCTTAATCCCAGCACTTGGGAGGCAGAGGCAGGAGGATCTCTGTGAGTTCAAGGCCAGCCTGGTCTACATAGTGAGTTCCAGGGCAGCTGGAGCTACAGGGAGACCCTGTCTCAAAAAGACAAAAAAAAAAGAAAGCTCCTCAGAAGCTATCCAGATTTGTGTGTGCTGAGGACCCACTGTGAGAAATGTAGGGTTTGGCAAGAGCCTTTGATGCTGTTCCATCTAATTGCCTCTGCCACCACTTGCCCTCCTCATCCTTAATTCTGACAGTCTGTCAGAGATTGACAGGTCTCTTTTTGCCCTTTTTGAAGACCCTTCATGGAATGCCTCCCTGGGAGTGGGAGGCGGGGTCAAGCTTTGTGTCTCTTTTTGTAGTTCTTTTCTATACAGCATTGATTTTCAAGGAGCTGTGTTCTAGTCTGGGAGACAAATGTGTGTGTTAGCATTGGTAATTTGGAGTACTGAATGCTAGAGATGGAAGAGGGAAGAGCATGTACCTGAGGGGGATGGGAGGCTTCAAGGTGGGGCTTCAAAGACGCCCTAGAGGTCAGATAGACAAGAAGCAGAGAGATGGGCAGAAAGAAGTGGCATGGTAGTTTGGGCAACAGCAGACAAGGAGCCTGGTGGGGAATGATGGGAAAGAGGGGCAGGAGTGTGATCATGAGAGACATCTTACCCTTGACCATGGTGAGAACCTCCTGTTTTCGTAATGTTTCACCCAAGTTCCTATTCATTCTCAAAACATTTGGTGCTCAGCATACCAGAGTAGAAGGCTATGACATCTCTGTGGTTTAGAGGGAGATACCTGTTCTTGACACAGGAGAGCAAATGGTGCAATGGAGTTGACTCATATGCACTTCTCTCCTTGTCTTACCTCCTAGGAGACCCTCCTGCTCTTAACTGTGGGAGATGAGAAAGGTGCTGGGCTCTTCCTGCTGTCAGGGCCAGCAGAGGCCGTGGAGACCCTGGGGCCCAGGTAATGTGATATGGATTCTTTTGTAGAGGGGAAAGCCTGTGTGCCCCTAACCTACTGATGGAGCCCTGTGCTTTAACAGGACATCACATCTGTGATCTCCTTGATTCAAGTTGCATGTGTGGTGGCTGAGCAAATGTGTTCTTATGTCAGCACTCCTAGTTTGACAGATGAGGGTGGTCTCACAGTTAAAGTGGCAGAATGAGACTTAAATTCAGGGCTTTTACTTTTGTATCTTATTTAGGAATTTTGATTCATAGAGCTAGGCACAGTGGAATATGCCTCTGATCCCAATAATGAAAAGGCTGAGGCAGGAGGTTTGCTAGTTTGAGGTTAGCCCGATATATATATATATATATATATATATATATATAGCAAGACCTGGTCTCTGAAGAAAAAAAGAAAAAGAAAATAAATTTAGATTCATAGTGACACATGAATGCGGGTGCCGAGTTATCAGGTGTCGGGTTATCAGGCAGATGAAGCTGTTTCATTTATGTGTGTATATATTTTGTGGTGCTGGGGATTGAATCCAAGGCCTTACACATGCTAAGTCAATACTGCACCACTCAGCCAAACCCCATTGCTGAGCAGGTTCTTAAGGTTTCAGCAAGGCACAGGCACAACTTTTTTGAGAAAAGAAATTTTGGATTTTAAAACCAAGTTTAATAAAGCAGTTAGGTGTGGTGGCATGTGCCTGAATTCCCAGCACTCAGGAGGCGGAGGCAAGGAGGATCATGAAGCCAGCCTGGGCTGCATAGTGAAACCCTATGGGGGAAAGAAAAAATGAAAAGGTTTTTTTTTTTTTTTTTGGTCTTTTTGAGACAGGGTCTCCCTGTAGCCCCAGCTGTCCTGGAACTCACTGTGTAGACCAGGCTGGCCTTGAACTCACAGAGATCCGCCTGCCTCTGCCTCCCAAGTGCTGGGATTAAAGGTGTGTGCCACCACATCTGTCGAAAAAGGTATTTGTTATAGAAAAATGTAGAACTTTGTTGGATATGTTTACCATTATATTATATTTTCTTTCTTTTTTGAGACAGGGTATCACTATGTAACTCTGGCTTGGAACTCTGTGTAGACCAGGCTGGCCTTGAACTCACAGAGATCTGCCTGCCTCTGCCTTCCAAGTGCTGGGATTAAAGGCGTGTGCCAGGTGGCGCCCAACATTGTAGTGCATACTTTTAATCCCAGCACTCAGGAGTCAGAGGTAGAGGCAGAGGCAGGTGGACCTCTTTGAGTTCAAGTCCCACCTGGTCATCTACACAGTGAATTCCAGGCTAGCCAACCCAAAAGGTTGTGCTACCACACCCATTTAAATCAATAAATATCTTATTTCCTTATTTAGAAGCTTTCAGAATGTTTGGACAGCTACAACTTTAAAAAATATATATTTTATTATTTTTATTTTATGTGTGTGTGTATTGCCTGCATGTATGTGAGTGCACCCGTGTTGTGCAATGCCGCAGAGGTCAGAAGAGGGCTTCGGATTCCCCTGGAACTGGAGTTAAGGACGGTTAGTAGCCGCCATGTGGGTGCCGGGAATTGAACCCGGGTCCTCTGCAAGAGCAATCAGTGCTCTTAACTGCTGAGCCTTCTCTCCAGCCCCAGCTACAACGTTTTAAAAAACAAAGTGCTATTCAGTTAAAGAACAGTGATTTTTGTATAAGCTGCATCATAGATAAAACTGAAAATGAAAAACTACCATCCCCACATATAGCTAATGTGTGCTGTGTAGAAGAATCTGCTTTAGGGGCTGGAGAGATGGCTCAGCAGTTAAGAACACTGGTTGTTCTTGCAGAAGACCCAGGTTCGAATCCCAGCACCCACATGGCAGCTAACAATGGTCTGTAACTACAGTTCCAGGGAATCTGACAGCCTCTTCTTTCCTCGCAGGCATTGCATGACACGGGTGCACTTACTTACATGCAGGCAATACACTCATGCACATAAAACAAAAATAATAAATAATTTTTTTCGTCTTTTTGAGACAGGGTCTCTCTGTTGCCCTAGCTGTCCTGGAACTCACTATGTAGACCAGGCTGGCCTTGAACTCCCAGAGATCCGCCTGCCTCTGCCTCCTGAGTGCTGGGATTAAAGGCGTGCGCCACTGTGCCCAGCTAAAAATAATAAATAAAATATTTTTTAAAAAAAGAATCTGCTTTAGTTTACATGCCGGTTTGCAGCCCCCTCGCTGTACTAGGCAAGGTTAGTGACTGTTGAAGGTACTAACAGGGAGGACTGTCTAAAGACATATTTGGTAGTATATTACCTGTAGAAAAAAATTACGAAGGGGCTGGAGGGGGGCTCAGTGGTTAAGGGTACTGGCTGCTCTTGCAGAGGACCCAAGTTTGATTCCCACCACCCATGTGGCAGCTAACAGCTATGTGTATCTCCAGTTCCAGGTGATCTGATGCCCTCTTCTGACCTCTATGGTCATTGGACAGCACAGTTACCCTTATCTACACATAGGCAATACACTCATACACATAAAAATAAATAAAATTTTAAAAAAGAAAGAAGAACCAGAGAGTCACATTGCTTGGGAGGTAGAAGCAGGAAGATCAAGAGTTCAAGGTCATTTTCAGCTACATGGTTGACAAGTCCAAGGCTAACTTAGGCAACCTGATATCTTTTTTATTTTTTGGTATTTTTTTGAGACAGGGTCTCCCTGTAGCCCCAGCTGGCCTGGAACTCACTATGTAGACCAGGCTGGCCTCTAACTCACAGAGATCCACCTGCCTCTGCTTCCCAAGTGTTGGGATTAAAGGTGTGCACCACCACGCCCGGCTGGCAACCTGATATCTTGTCTCAATACACGAAAAAGAAAAGCACTAAGAATAAGAAGGCCACAGAGATGGCTCAGCGGGTAGAGGTGCTTGCTGCCAAGCCAAAATGTAATAAAAACACTGCACAAGGGTCACCATATTCATCACCATCCTCATCTTCCTTTTCTTTTTCCTTCTTAAAAATATTTTATTTTTATTTTATGTGAATGAGTGTAATGCCCACATGTATGTAAGTGCATCCATGTCCTGCAATGCCCATGGAGGTCAGAAGAGGGCATCAGATCCCCTGGAACTGGAGTTTCAGATGGTTGTTAAACACCATGTGGGTGCTGGGAACACAATCCAGGTCCTCTGCATCTCTTCAGCCCCTTCATTTTCTTTTCAACTTTGACAACTTTTTCTGCCTCCCGTTTTCCTGTGGCTGTGGAGACAGGAGCTCCTTTTCCTAGTTTCCCTCAGGCTGAGCACCTCCTTGTCTTCTGCAGTCGTGGTCTGTGTCTTTCCTGGTTTCTTTGCAACATCACTGATGGATAAGCCCAAGAGTTTCAAGAGTTTTCTGATTTGGGGTGATACTCGGAATGAAGGCCAGGAGTGGGGCACAAGCGGCCTCTCGGTGCCTTGGAACCCTTGAGCTTTTCTGCCCCCCTTTAGGAGGAGTAGAGGTTTTCATTTCTCCTTTGTAGTTAGCCTTATCCATGTTTGCCGAGTCTTCAGTTTTTCCTTTTTTACAGTTTTCCACCTTTCTGAGCACTTAGAAAACCCTGAGGTGACAGAAATGTGGGGTGCCTGTGCTCTTCCTGACAAGCCTTCACAAAGCGCATGCGGTGCTGTTGCGCCTCTGACTTCTGGGTTGTCTTTGCCTATATTTAGTTGCTGTTCCTGGGCAAGGCCTGGGTAGCCCAATACCTGTTGCTCTCACTTGCCCTGGTGTTACCTCTGTAGCTCACTGTGCTGCAGTGGTTCTACCCTTATATTTTCTTGTTTTAAATTAGGTCTAGAGGTATATGACCCATAGTATTTTGGGCATTAGAGTTTTCAGGGTCCTTATTAGTTCTCTGGACTATGCATTCATTGGAAACACTGAATATGTAATGGAGATTCCTCACAGGCAGCCACATGTGGCCTGTAGTTGGGTTTGGCTTGTGTGTCCTCCCTCCCATTCTTCTTCCTCCCTCCCTCTTCCTTTTTTCTTTTCTTTTTTTTTTTTCTGGAGCTGAGGACCGAACTCAGGGCCTTGCGCTTGCTAGGGAAGTGCTCTACCACTGAGCTAAATCCCCAACCCCCTCCTTTTCTTTTCTTTTCTTTTCTTTTCTTTTTTCTTTTCTTCTTTCCTTTCCTTTCCTCTCCTTTTCTCTTTCCCCTTTCCTTCTTTCCTCTCCCTCCCTCCCTCCCTCCCTCCCTCCCTTTGAGACAAGATTTTACTCTGTGTCCTAGACTGACTTCAAATTCATGATCCTCCTGCCTCTATCTCCCAAGGGTTAAGCTTATGGTATACTACCATATCCAGCATTTTGGAGGGGAAGGATTTCCTAGGCTGGCCTCAAACTTGTAATTCTCTAGCCTCAGCCTTCTGCTTTCTAGAAATCACCTATTCTTCCTCGAGTCCCTGAGGGCTGCCCTGGCTTCTGTGTCTTTCCTCAGACACCACCCCCCTGACTCTTATCTCTGTTCCCCAGGGTGGCTGAAATCTTGGAAGGCAAAGGAGCAGGGAAGAAAGGCCGTTTCCAAGGCAAAGCCACCAAGATGAGCCGGCGGGCAGAGGTACAGGCGCTTCTGCAGGACTATGTCAGCACGCAGAGTGCGGAGGAGTGAGGAGTCTGCCTCAGTGACCACAGCAGTCTCTTGGACAATAAAATAATGTCACCCCCAGGTCAGCTGGGGCTACAGGGAGACCCTGTCTCATAAAAGAAAAAAAAAAAAAAAAAAGTCACCCAAAATGATCGTGCTACCACCACTTCTATTTACACGCACAACGTGTACAGTGTATTCCAGTGTGCTTGTGCAGTAGCGTCTGTTGAGAATAAACAATTTTCTAATTTGACTGCTAATAACCTACACCAGTGGGCATGAAATGTGCCAATCTAGGCCCAACCGAAGCCTTCATTCATGGAGTGGTATAGTTGCTTTGGATAGTGCAAGTCAGTCTGGAGGAGACCCAGGGCTCAGTCTCATCCAGATCTCCTTTGTTTTGGTTTCTGGGGGGGGGGGAGGCAGGGGGAACAGAGTCTTGCTATGTATTCTAGGATGGCCGCCTCAGTTTCCTGAGTACTGAGATAACAGGCTTGTGCTGCCGGCCAGGCTTCAGACCTCTTGTGTGTGTGCATGCCTATGCGTGTGCATGTGTATGTGTGCTTATATGTGCAAATGCTTATGGAGGCAAGAGGACAACTGGTGTCATTCCTCAGGCATAGTCCACATTTTTTTTTTTTTTTTTAACAGAGTCCCTGGCCTGAACTTACCAAGTGGCCAGGCTGATTGGCCAGCAAGCCCCAGGGATCCTTCTGTCTTTGCCTCCCCAGGACTGGGATTACAAGCATGCACCACTGGCTTTATTTTAGTGATGTCATGTCCTCATACTTGCAAGGCAATCACTTTGTCAGCTGAGCTATCTCCTCAGCCCTTCAGACCTCTGTGTGTGTGTCTGTGTGTGATGTGTGTGTATATGGATATCTGTCTTATGGATGTGTGTGTGTGATTGTGTGATCTGTGTGTGTGTTTGTGTGTATGATGTATGTGTGACCTCCTATGTAGAGGTCAGAAAAGAGCACTCAGGAGTTTGTCTCCTTTCACTTTAAAAAAATTTATTATTTTTAAGGGGCTGGAGAGATGGCTCAGTGGTTCAGAGCACTGACTGCTCTTGCAGAGGACCCGGGTTCGATTCCCAGTACCCACATGGAGGCTATGAACCATCCTTAATTCCAGTTCCAGGGGAATCCAAAGCCCTTTTCTGACCTCCGCGGCATTACACGACACGGGTGCACTCACATGCAGACAATATACTCATATACATAAAAATAAAATATTTTTTAAAAAATTTATTTTTGCCGGGTGTGGTGGTACACGCCTTTAATCCCAGCACTCGGGAGGCAGAGGCAGGCAGATCTCTGTGAGTTCAAGGCCAGCCTGATCTACATAGTTCCAGGACAGCTGGAGCTACAGGGAGATTGTGTCTTAAAAAGACTAAAAAAATAAATATGTAGACCAGGCTGGCCTTGAACTCACAGAGATCCACCTGCCTCTGCATCCTGAGTGCCAAGGCATTCGCTACCATGCCCAGCTTTACCTTTTTTTTTTTTTTTTTTCCAAAAAACGTGTGTTGGGGCTGCTGGAGAAATGGCTCAGCGGTTAAGAACACTGGTTGTTCTTGCAGAAGACCCGGGTTTGAATCCCATTGCCTACATGGCAGCTAACAACGGTAACTCCAGTCCCAGGGGATCTGACAGCGTCTTCTGACCTCCGCAGGCATTGCATGACACAGGTGCACTTACCTACATGCAGGCAATACACAAATACACATAAAATTAAAATAACACGTACATGTGTGTGTGTGTAGGTCAGAGGGCTTTTTTTTGGGGGGGGTATTCTTTGAGACTGGGTCTCCCTGTAGCCCCACCTGACCTGGTCTGGAACTCACAGAAATCTGCCTGCCTCTGCTTTGCCTTCTGAGTGCTGGGATTAAAGGTGTGCGACAATACCGGGCCTGCTGGGCTGCTTTTATAAGGGCACTGATCACATTCATGAGGGCTCTGCCCCATGACATAATTGCATCCTAAAGGTGACATCTATATATTGTCACCTTGGGGGGATGGTTAAGATTTCAGTGTGAATTTTCAGGGGACACAAGCATTGAGGCCATAGAGGGTATGATAAGACAGTGGTGGACTAGGCAGCCCTCCTCGCTCAGCACTATCCAGCTGGATTCTGTTCACTGTGAGCCGGAATGAACAGATGCTTTATTCAAACTCAGACACTTTGGAGAGTGTCTTACCCCACTACAAGTCATAAGCCCACAGTGCTGGGCAAACCTGGATGTCTGACTTACTGTTAATTTCCAGTTCCTTGACCTGAACTTGGGGACATGAACACTATGTCCTAAGAAGGAACTTTCTGAAATAGCTCAATTAGAAAAAGACAAACATGGGGGAAAATTACATGAAAACAGTAATTGGTTGTATAAAGGGTGGGGTTGGGAAAATGAGCAGTATTGAATGGGTGGTGGCTGAACTGGTGGTGGCATTCCTGCCTGTCACGGGGCCCCTAATCCAATGCTCTGAGGAAAGAACAGTGTGCTCAGGGAAGGGCTGGATAGCCTGCTGAAGTTTACCACAAGATATAGCACAATGGGTTTATTTGTTCTATTAAGAATTTTAGAGGGGGCCTAGAGAGATGGCTCAGTGGTTAAGAATACTGACTGCCCTTGCAGAGGACCCAGATTTGGTTCCCAGCACCCATATGGTAGCTAAAAACCTTTAACTCCAGTTACAGGGGATCTGACACCATCCAGCCTCCACAGGCATTGCACACACATGTGGATACACTTACATACATGCAGGCAAAACACTCATATATATAAAATAAAAATAAAAGAATTTTAGAGGGTTCTGGAGAGATGGCTTAGCAGTCAAATGTACTTGCTGCTCATCCAGGGGTCTGGAGTTCAGTTCCCAGCACTCATATTGGGTGGCTCACAACTGCCTATTACTCTAGCTCCAGAGGATCTGACACCCTCTTCAGAGGCCTCTGTGGGTATCTGCACACACATGACATACACATACATAACTTTTTAAAAGAATTATATATGTACACATGGACCATACACTCTGGAGCATAGCTGTGGTGTGCTCTTACAGCACAGAAACAGGAGGCTATATATACCTTCTTGGCTTCTCAGTTGTTACTTCAGCACCCATCAGACATAGCTACTATGGTTCCCACCAGTGTCTCAGGTCTCCTGGGTGCTGGTGCATATTACTTGTAGGTAGGAGGCAGACAGTTGTGCCAAAACATTCCGTGGCCCCACCTCACCCTTTAGGACTGGAAACCTGTGAGTCAGCCAAGTTATGCCAGAATGCCAGGACTTTTCCTGAATAAGAACTTAAATAAACTCTGGGGCCCTGTCTGGTATGATGGGAAAACAGGTGGCTCAACATCATCCCCTGATGAAAAGCTCCTGGAGAAAGTGCCTGTGTTTCCCATTCCTGTCCTGAATTGGAGCCAATCTGTGACCAAATTGTCCTCAACAGAGGGCAAACAGGATTGTTTTGGAGACTAATGGAGGAATTTCCATCTCTAGGAAGGTTTCCATCTTCTGTGAAGACTTCTGACAGAATGCCAGGCTCCAAGGAATGAGAACAGGTCTTCCTAGATTGTCCTGGTGCTGTGCTCGGAGCAGAAGATGTTTCATGGGGACAACCCTCTCAAGTCTGCTGTAGCCTTTTGTAAAGATCTGTGGCTGAGGCCTAAAAATGCCAACTTAGGATGGGTGTGTAGCTCAGTTGGTAGAGCACTTGCCTAATATATCTGAAGGTTAAGTCCTAGAGTGCAAAAACAAACAAAACCCCCACCAAACTCAAATCTAAGTGTTTGAGATGGATGGAGAGAGGACATTGGGTAGAAGTTAGAGTATAGTCAAAGGATAGAAAAATGTAAGGCTGAGTGTGATAGCACATGCCTGTTATCCCAACACTTATGAGGCTGAGACAGGAGAATTCTTGAGTTAGAGCTTAGCCTGGGCTATATAACTAAGACTCTGTCTCAAAAAGGTGTGTGTGTGTGTGTATGTGTGTGTGTGTGTGTGTGTGTGTGTTGTGGGGGTAGGGAGATGGCTCAGTTGGTAAAATACTTCTATATACCCATATAAAAGCCAGGTGCTATGGCTGAGACAGGAGGATCATTGACCAGCCAGTCTAGCCAGATCAGGGAGTTCTAGCTTCATTGAGAGACCTTGTCTCAAAAAATAAGTAGAGGCCAGAAGAGATGGCTCAGTGGTTAAGAGCACCTGCTGCTCTTGCAGAGGACCCAGGTTCGATTCCTAGCACCCACATGGTGGTTAACAACCATCCATAACTCCAGAGGCCTTCTTCTGACCTCAGTGGGCATTGCATGACACGGGTGCACTTACATACATGCAGGCAATGCACTCATACATACGAAATAAAGTAATAAATAATTTTTAAAAATAGACAGTAGGTTCAAAATACCTGAAAGCAAATCCTGAATCCATCACTCCAGCCTTGGAAGACAAAAGAAAAATGAGGAGGAACCCAATAGAGGGATGCTTTTGGAAGCCCTTGTCAAGAAATTCCAGTGGACTCATATGAACATCTGAAAATTGCCCTGTTCTTTTTTCTAGTTCCCCAGCTAGAGAACTTGGAATGCTAATTTCTCTTGCCTTTACTTCTCCTTCACATCTCCTACTCACAACTCA